CTGTAAAATATTTTTAAGTTCTTCTAACATCTAACCTGCGTTATACATGCTTACCCATATGACATCTTCTTACAATACATATTCTGCTTTCTTTTGCCTTGCCACTACATGGCTTTCCATATTTTCCAGGTTTTGGTTTATCGCACTTTCTAAAGCGTGTTTTCATGCCATTATCACATGTAGCACTGCAATCAGACCAATCGCTCCATCTTCCCCAATGGCCATCTATTGCAAAACGCTCTATAAACAAAAATTGCGTCATCTTACTGAAGCCATTTGTTTGGCTCATTCCACTGAAATGGGGCAGCAAGACCACAAGACCCGTTAACTCGATCGCCGAAAATTAAAATTCATATTCCCAACAAATCATGCGCGTCATTCGCGCACGCCGGATTRGCCAATCCGAATAGAGTGCAGCCACGTTGACCCACAAAAAATGTACAAACAAAGTCGGAATGGAGGGCGACGTTGATATGGTTTAGTTTGAGATGTTGTTGGAGCACTTGTAAAGCAGATGAGCGATAAAAAGCCAGGTTAAATGGAGGACGATTCATTCTCTTCTCTTAGTCAAAACCTAATCTAAAAAAATTCTTGAAATGGATCCCAAGATGTGTTACAAATCCTCGGAAGACTGTGTCATTTGCGCAAACTCGAAAGCATTTGTGGGACAAACCAGACAAGCCGCGAGCGTTTGATTCCCGCGCTTTCTTCTGATTGGCTAATCACATGCTCGCACTTGATTTGTCGGAACCATGAATTATATTGAACGATTTTTACAAAAATATCACTGGTGTTACAGTGCAAATCGAAAAGCTGTGAACGCCTAGAAATATTTGGGAATGTTTATTGGTCATTGAGCAATCAGAAGCGAGATCAWGTGCATTTTCACGTCCAAATTTATCAAAACTTCAACATTACAAATAAATAAACTAGTTTATCATTAAAAACGGCCTGTTAGAGTATACAAACACTAAATCTGTGCAACATAAATAGTACTATATTCCCTACAATGATGAATACGGATATGCATGGTTGCACAGACTTGGGCAGAGCTTAAGAGTGAGTTTCTGTAAATATATATCAAACATTGTATCAAACATTGTGTGGCCATTTCAAAAATTAGATATCCCTGAACCTTTCCATACAAGTTTTCCTCACACCACAAAATAGAAAAAAACGGTATCATAAGGTTGAGGGGCCTTCGTTTCCATGACAAATTGTTGTACTCCCACTGTTTTGGTTCATTTTCATCCAAAACAGCCGTAAAAAGGTAGCTTTTTAGGCCATTATTAAAGTGCACCTTCACGATTTTTTTTTTAATCTTTAAAATGAAAATTGAGGTTAATGGAAACGTATCTGTGAAAGAATTTTTCATTTCTATCAAAAAGCGAATTTTTGGTGAGCTTACAAACATACGAAAATGTCCACTTTGAGCTCTTTTTTTTGGTTCAATACCGGGAAAGACTGGGACTGACTCTGACGTCATCCCAGGACAAGGCATTTGTTGTTATCGAAGCTTGACAGTGGATTTTATCGCGAGTCAACTCCAAAAATCTCATTTAACATCGATTGTTATGCTCTTTCGCGAATGAAATCCCCATCAAGTGCGTTGTTGGTGGCCTCGGCACAAAATACGTTATTTTGAAGGGAATCGACCTTCAAGTTACGACGACCCGAAGCAAGAAAAAGACGGAAGAAGTGGCTCAACTTTGTCAAAATGAAGCGTACCAAATGCACAAGACGAATAAACCATACCGCTATATATTTATTGAGAAATGTCAAGAGCCTAGCGTGAACTCAGTTTACTAGTAATAGGGCTGGAATTTCAGCAAATTCTTTTGGCCTCGGCACAAAATACGCAAAACAGCCATTAGTCATTTGAGGCAAAGAGTTCTCTATGCCCGGCAGTCTAAACTTCTCGTACTCGAGAATTAGAAAATGAAATAAGTACGATAAGGCAAACACATGACTGAAAATATTCTTCCTTTCAAGCGCTTTTCTAATAAATTTCATGAAATGAAACGACTACGAATCCAGAAATGAACACTCTTTATTTCTAATTTTGGCTTTATTTTTCCGATTTCGTCCCAACCGTTTACAAAATAATCGCCAAACTTTCACAGAAAGTCTTACAAGGTTCATACAAATTGTTTTAGATAATAAAAAAAATCGTGAAGGTGCACTTTAATCCTAAACAATTTTGCAGCACAATTCCTTTGCTATATCACAGCAAAGAATCATTCTTGGACTTTGGTTGGAGATACTTTTCTTTGGTCTGGTTACCATGGTTATTCCATAATGAAATTTACAAAACAGCCTTTAGTGTTTGTACTCTAAGGCTCACAAATAGTACAATTTCGTAGTTTAAAATATACACAAAGTTCGTTCATTTACGGTTTTCATCATGCTTTCTTGGTTGTCGTACACATTCCYGAAATATTTCTAGGCGGTGAAGGCTTTTCGAATCGTGCTGTAAAAGGCACCTTGTCTTCCTTTTGGAATGAATATYTATCAATTTTGCATTATAACTGACTTTCACGTTTTTGCAAGAATACTCGCATACCGAAGATATGCAGTTGATTCCATTAAGTGCCATTCTTGTTCMGTGAGAACAAGCCGAACATTGCTGATCCAAAAATATATTAATATATGAAAGTAGAAATCAAATATGGCCAGATTCATTCTGAAAAACAACTTAAGCAGCAAGGCAAAAAAATTTTTTTCCCTTAGTCTTCAATCTATGTAAAACAAATACATCTTGAGTTTTCCAACCCACTCACCCCATGTAACCATTTCTGGACCCGCCACTGATCTCCTAGTTCTTTCGCAATTTAGATATATAGTATGATTATGTATTCACTACACATGACCGGAAGAACAAAGTGTGGCCAGATTTTGTAACTTACTGTCGCATTCCCTTTTAGTGCACTTCACTTTTTGTTCCTCAATTCCATACGCGTTGGTTTTACCACCACAATGTGTCAGTTTTCCTGGATTATAGCAGAAACGCTCTCGGGTTTTGTAGCACTTGTCATTACAAGGTGTAAATCCGGACCAACTTGACCAACCGTATCTTTTAGCTGTGATTTGAAAGCACGAGTGCGTATTAGCAAGTCAAAAATCAACATGAATAATCAATGTGCCGCGACGCCACACTSTGCATCCAAGCATAATGGGAGTTGTAATCATCGCTTTTTTCATCCAAAACAGTCCTCCTAGACCATGTTTGCTTTTCCTTTTCGAGTAAACAAGCAGTTGTGCTGTTTATAAGAAAACGAGAAATCGGCTTTTAGGAGGATTTTTTGGTTCACTACAAAACGTGAGAGGACTACAATTACCATCATGCTTTGCTGGCCAAAATAAAGTTACTGCTCATTGCACAGCTCTCTGAATATAATGCAATCAGAACTAAGCATGTTTTTAAACTCTTAAAAGAGTTGTTCCTTTCAAAATAATATTGCAATATAATCATAMTTTAAAGACCCCATTAAAACATTTGAGAGGAATTCTTTTCGTATAACTTGATTTTGAGCTATGCGATGAGAAACGTAGAATTTGCGTGCGTTATATATGCCTATATATGGGAAGAAATCATCATATTGCAGTCTTGCACACATGCAGTTTCCTTTTTTCTGATGGATTGAACTTCGATAATTTGATGCTATAYCCTACCTTTACAATTATACAGTGTATTTATTTCAATTATATCACCAGCGCTGAGTCGTTTTCCTTTGTTAAACTCCATCTGTTCGTTGTCAATGGCAACAATAGTTGGGTTTCCGTTCTTTGTAAAAGCCGTTCTGTCATAATGCATAATGGATTCGTAGTCATAGGATTTGCCTAATGTGTCAATGGTCTTCCAAGAATRCTTGTCAAACTGATCGCTGAAACCTGATGAAAACCTTGATTAACTAATACCTTACAGGAGTCTTTAGCATTTCATAAGATACATTCCATAAAAGATTTCTGAGAAACATCAAATTAAGGTCTAATGGCTTTCTTTGGAAAAGGAGAAAAAGATTTTAATGAAATTACTTGATACACTTAACAAACTGTTCACACGGCCTTGGTTCTTAAGAAAGCATGATGGATTTCATATTCTCCAAACTTTGCATATTGACTATATTACGATTGCACGAAACGACGACAGCCATGCGAACAAAAGTACAATCAAACAATTTTTCAAATGAATCATGATATTTTGTACCTTCCAAAATATTTTCCCAATTGACTCTGACGTAYCTATCACGATCGGATCGAGCCTGCTCGTGAAAGAATCCTGCAAAAGTAATAAATAGTTTATTAAGTAGTAAATAGATATTTTGTCTTTGAATTCCACCTCAATTATAAGACAACATTAATGTTATCATAAATAATACCATGTGGCTATGGAAGTCTACGAATGTCGAGGGAATT